ATAAATACCCACAAAAAAGGGTTACATCACCCTGGGCACAGAGAGAACTGCTCCTGTCTGTGCTCCTGCACTCTGAAGATGCCGGTCACAGGAGCTGGTAAAACGTTAGGAAACAAAACTTCCAGAACACGGCCACACAGCCCGGAAGACCCACACCAGCCATATCTGACTGACTTCAAATTGTACCAAGGGACAGTGTCTCAAAACCAACAAATATATTTTACAAGGCAGAAATGAGCAGAGTGCTAAACAAATAAAAATTGGGTATAGATTAAAAAACACCACAGTGAAAGAGAAAGAAAAAAAGACAAGAAGATATATTTAATCTATGTACCAAGTTTGAGTTTCCCTCAATGGCTAAAAAGGTAGCTCATTTAAATACTTGTGATGTAAGCAAGAGCGCATTATTCCAACCTTTTCCTAGTAATTCCTAATGTGAAGAACTAGTGCAGTACAAAAAGAGTGCTGATGAGTATGGCTGGGCAATGCTCTGGAAATAATTTGGGAAAGCTTCTTTTGGAGTGGTCACAGGAATGTGAATGTAGTATCCATCGATAACTGTTAACTGCTGGCACATCTTCTCATGGGATCATGCAATGCTTTCTGAGGCTGCCACATTATCTCTGGAGAAGACCTAGCTGCTTTAAAGAGCTCCTGACAGGTGCTATGTTCACATCTATACAAACTTCAGAGCATTCTTATGGAATCTTGATTGTGAAACCACCCGTGTGACAATATATTTGAGGCATGGCTGTCAGTATCAGAGAATATCTGGGTTACTATTTTTGGAGCACTGAAGATTGTTATATGGTCCTGTGGTCTTCTCCCAATCCAGGTATCTTGTTTAAAGTCAGTGCTGCATTCAAATAATCTGACTGTAACTTTGTTATTCTTTTTAAACTGATGCAAGGCTCTACCATTCCCTGGTCTGGGTAATGTAATTATAATAATCAATGAAATATAGAAACTGCTTGGAGGAACTGTTTCACTAGTTCACACATGATATAAATCAGTATTTAGTGTGCTAGACACGATACTGTTCCTTCTTAGTCCTCTGACATAGCTGGAATGATAAATTATATTGTAAATAATATCTTCTCATTTTATCTAAACCAGGAAATTGTGATTTAACAG